ATCCATCCATCCATTCTTCCATCCATCCATTCTTCCATCCATCCATCCACTGATCCATCCATCCATCCATCAAACCACTATATAATCACTTTATAAATGTCCACTGATAGCTCATACGAGGGTGCAAATTTCTTCTCGTGACAAATTTTGTTGACTTGAACTTGAACTACAGTTTCCTTGAACAACAGTGACAACAGCAGCTGAAGCTTCTTAGATATAACCACAAGAATTCTCTTGGTCTAAGGCCAAGATTTACTGTATGTCATATTGTTCAACACGCACCCGAATCAACATGTATTTTCAAATTCCTTTCGAGAAAAAAAACATATTTACTACTGAGGGAAAGCGAATCTAGTATTTCTATATATTATTCATTTCCTTCTCATCTTCTCATCCAGATCAATTTAAAGCTTGTGCTGTATTAAACTTCATTGCCAGGCCGGCAATAGAAGTCTCTTACAGACCACACAGAAAATTACCTGATATAACTGCGTTCAGGTGTTTGACCATCATGGTAGATTTGCAGCTAAGACAAACTCAGTAGGATCTATCAATCCATGCAAGACTATTTTAACGTTAACATCTGTTAATGTACTTAGAAGAAAAGACTCCAAAGGCCCACAGGATCGTGGTCAGTGCTTATCGTTGCCCCTAAGACAGATGATGGCCCCCAAAAGTTTTTCATCGGTTTACCGAAAGTCTGACACCGGATATAACTGTTTTTGGAGCGATATTTCCTGAAGTGACTTTGGTCATTGATATCTAAAATCTATAACTGAAGTTTACAACGATCTATTCTTCATCCTCAGTTGAGACCGATAGCTTTACTTTAGACTGCTTGCCACCTATGTCACTGTCAAGAGTTGTCTCATATTAATTTTCAGGCAAAAGGACATTTTCTTCGTTGAGTCTTTACAGAGCATCATTGTCCTAAAGACTTACCGGGGACGTTTACTCATGCTTTCTTAAATAGCGAAATTGTAAACAGAGTCACGCAAAACGAAACATCGCTTATATTTGACAATAGCTTTAGCCTTTTATATGGAACACTAGTGCTGCAAGTAAGTATATCATGATGACTATTGCGGTAACGTTTTTATTTAGGCCGTCGAACAAAGAGAGTATCAAATTGAGCTGATCCTCGCAGTATATGAAGCAACTTATGCAGTTGCAAATTGAAAGACTCAGAAAAATTCTGAGTCTTGAACGGGATAAGAGAGTGATAAAGATGATACTGAATCTAATACCGAAACTTATAGAAATAGGCTGTTGGTGGGAATGTCTCTTGATATAATAAGTACTTTCTTGTACAGCAAATTAAAATGGAGATAAGTACAAAAGATAACGCTGATAAGACAAGAGAATCAAATCAAATTCGACAAAACAATGAGTGGATAATGACTATGATAGAGATGATAGTGGACCGCAAAGCAAGTAATAATCTTAGCAAATTTCTTCACAGCAAATTACAAAAATGTCGAGTTTATTTTGATAAATAAGCAGTCAAGTGTGTTGGTATGCAGCCAAAATGCAAGGTTGTTACAATTTGGAGAGTTACATGAACATCACTTAAGTGACGAAAACGAATACTTGGTTAAGTATGGACGTGTACCGGCAGATTGAGCAATCGATCGCCAAGTTTCTATTTTCTATTCTGGCTGCATCATCCAATAATAACATAAACTTCGGTCCGAAAGGAGAATCAATTGAAAAGAAATGTTCGATGCACTCGAACAAAAATTTCATAACTTTATGGTACTTTATATGATTTTTTTAATGCATATTATTAATTAATTTCTCCAAATTTTATCGATATTCCATTCCAGTGAAATATCATGTACAACTTACGCTATGGGAGACGTCTAAAAATGGACACTAGTTTCGACGCGATTTGCAAATATTGCAACTATTAAATTTGAAGCAGAAATCTCTGCTCAAATCGACACGAAGGTTACGGATTCTATATAGCAGTGGTTCCCGGCATCTTACGGGAGGAGGGGGACGCGGGGAGTGAGTTCTTATTTGTAAACATTTCTTTTTTGCATCAGAAAGGTCTTTTCCTGAAATTCGATTCATGCGTGCGTCTAACACATGAAGCATGCATTTGCACATGAAGCATCAACGCTGTCAAAACACAAAGAAAACTAACTCTTTGAGCTTTAARACAACTTGTAAAACAATTAAGCCTGAGCCCTAACTCACTGAGCATGTGTAAGGTATTCATTTGAATGGTTAGGGTAAAAGGAGGTCAATGACAGTGGGTGCCATTGAGGCATTCACGGGATAAACGACTCACTGATTCACAGCTCGCCATATTGTTAATCTATCATCCAGTAGTCAATGTCAAATCCTGCTGTCAACATCACAGTCACTTGACATCTTTAGATCAATGACATTACAGTAAACACTGCGTATACAGTAAACCTTAGGGAAACAAACGCAAAATCTTACTTGAGTGATTTGGATTTTACTTCTTATGCGAAAGTTTTAAGAGAGATTGGTTTGACATAAAAATGTGCGGTGATTAAGAAAGTTATTAAAAATTTTACTACAATGACGTACGAATGTCGTCAGAGATCAAAGTCATCTTTATGTGAATTAACTGTAATGGGAGTTGTTATTGACGGTTGATCAATTGTCAGCTCTGTCAAAACGACTTCAACTCCTGAAAAAGCTAAAAGTAGAGGAACTTATATAATCTAATATAAAACCTATAACAATCGTATTGTCTAAGCTTCATATTGTTGCGGTCCTCTTTTTATGTATGGTCTTTTTAAAGACTTCTGCGTCCTTGAATTTTGAAGCTTGGCTCACGGGCTATGCATAAGAAACGTAGGTCGGTGCCTCTGAGTTCTGGCGAAATATTTCCGAGACTTGTAACGCAATCTCATACTAACTAGAATTCTGTACGAACTGCGACACGAGCCTTCCATGCTGCCATTATTTTTTTCTCCAAAGTATTTCAACCCGCATTATTGATATTCTACACTTTTTTTTTCTGCATTAACCCAGATCTGTTTTCCACTCTTTTCAATGTGAACGACTAAAGAAAAAAGCTTTTCATTGTGTTTTTGCCAATGCTTGTATGTTTATCTTCCGGTGTTATAAACAACGAGACTGAACTGAAGCAGGGAGGTGACTGAAGCAACGAGAACTAAAGGTCAACTTCTTGAAGCTTTAACATCTATTTTACAGCACCGATAAACGTGGAAGATCACGTCAGGAAAGGATCAAACGGATGATACAATCTGGATTGCATCAGAGAGGGTAACGCATTTGTCAGCTACGTACAGTGTTTGGTTAGATACGACTGAGATAGGTTTTCAACGCGTTGGAACAGGCCAAGCAAGTCGAGCGAAACAACACCGGAAAAGCTATGGATAAACTGAAAATCTGTTTTTATAGAATTGCACGCACGTTGCTTCGTAAAAAAATCGAATATTTTGTCATAGGAGGCACTTGAAATGGCCCGATGCTATAATTCGATTAGAAATTCTTTGCTGTTAATATCTAGTCAAAGTTCATTGAGAATTGAAGGCTTCTAAAACTTATCGACTCAGAATATGCTAAGCTGTAAACACACAGGGATTTGCAAGCGCCGACAAATCTACGTCCTAACACTAACCACAAACAAACGTATAGTAAAAGAAAAAGAAGGCACATACCTATCAGAATTATCATTCGCAAGTGTTGCGATGTAAATAAATTATGTTAATAAATCGAATAGCGAGTTAACACGGATCGTTTAACCCATCGATGTAATACACCTCGAACTAAATGTTCCTGTGAACTGGGCTTTTAGAGAAGTACATTGCCACGTACAAGAACCCGTGAATAAGACAACAAAACTGAGCAATAATCAGGATTATTTCTCGCACTTTTTAAGTCTTGTTATATTTTTAATATGTCGTTCTTATTTCATTAAAWTGCCGGGAATAATATGATTGTCAATGACGGCATCCCGAATTCCACTATGAAAGATAACTCCATGGGACACGTTTCGCATGAATTCGCATCTTTGTTCATAAGGTCATAATATTTCTACCAACTATGACAATAGCCAAAAAATATTCTCAGGTTTTTAAGTGCAATTATATAAGAACTTTAAGATTATTAAACTACCTACCTTTGAAGCTTGTCTCTCCTTTGAGTAATCTTGTCGATCAAGTAGTTTGTCCTCTGAGGTGCCCTCGTCGTCGTACGTAAAACAGGACCCTGTTATCGGAGGCGTTTTTAGTGGACTTGGATCATTTTTATTTATATCAAAAGTCTCTATTATATCTGTAGAATTTTCTGTAGTATTTTCAAGGATTTTGATATAGAAACGTCGTAATTCCTCTCCTTCATCGCTGAGACTTTCTTGTCGTAGGACATCCTTAAGGAAGCCTTCAATTCCGGGCAACACAAGGTCCAATGCTACAAATAAAACAAATTATCACTACAACGTATTTCATAATAAAAAAAAGTAGAATAAAATGGAAAATATTTGGAATATATCATTAGAATATACTACAAAATATTATAATTTCAGAAGGTTTTTTAAAGAGTTTTGACTACCTTGGATTCTTTGGGTATGATTCCAGTTTTGGACGATTTTCTCAACGTTCATCGTTCGCTAACCCAACCGTTTGGATTTCACTCATAATTGTCGCTCTCGAACAAGCTTAGCTATTATCCTTCGAGGTCACCAGTGAAACACAAGCCAGACCGTACCATTTCAATTATCTAAGTTAGCAATGGAATGTACACAAGAGCTTTCGCCAAAGTCTTTTGACTAAAAGTGTGTGAGTTTAGTCACGTCGATTAAGCTTACACTGAGTGTCTATTCTAGGAACTCTTCCTCCAAGTTAATGAGATTATAATAGAAGTTCCTTCAACCACAATAAAATCGTTCAAATGTTAACGTAAAGTTACTTAGGTTCTTTGGATACCATTTCATTGCGGTATCTAATTAAAAGCCCCACGTAGGATTGTTCAGTCGTAAACAATACCAAATGTCAAATGCTTACAGTTTGCCGTAAGGTCTCTGTTTGAGGCCGATGCTGATTGGATGATAGGACAATTAGCTTAGCATTATCAATTAACTTGCTGTAAACTGCTATACCTTTCTCACCAATATAACAATAGTTTCAATACAAAGTTACTGCCACTTATGCAAACAGTAAATATATCAGMAATGCCAATATTTAAGAGCATCAATAAGGATTTTTCAAGCTTCATTGATGTCGAGCTTTGGCTTTCCAGAGCTCTATTGTTACAAGGATAAATGAAATATAATRATGTATTGAAAAATATTATAGAATTCCATTCTGATTAGGTTTTCAATCATTCTTAACGTGTTTCCGCTGTAGTTTGGTTTATTTGCAGAGGACATTAGAAGGTGTTAGCTTGATGACATCAATCCGTTCGTTCCATTAGTAGTCAACTTTAACAAATTAGTCTGCCAACTAGTCATAAACCAGGAATTTTTGTGCTTAGTCGACAATTTACCCCAGTGTTTCTCTATCTTTCCATTAAGCAYTTGTTTATTTATATTATATCTTTCAGTTCAACGTATACAACCTGTCTCATTTCTTTGTGTGTATATTTAGAAACTCTGAAGACGTTGCAAGACACTAATAACTGTGTAATAACAGGGATAATAGTTTTGTGATAGTTACATGACTGGAAGCGGAAGTGTGGTCAGAAAGACAATTAATTTCTCTAATAGCAATGAAAGGACAATAGTTTTGAGGCT